CTTATTTTTAAAAGTGTTTTGTGAGTCACCCTCAGAAAGAAATATAATAATTAGGATGTGAGGCGCTCAAGCCTTACTTGAATACAAAATCATCCATTCCATATACCCACTTTTACAAAGAGGCACAATATAGAATGGGATACTCAAATGTTAGCAATCTAAGACCATAGAGAAATAGAATTTAGAAATGTCCTTGAAGAAAGGACAATTTCCTTGCTGAAGAAAGCAAGAGGGGTGTGGACATGTTGACAAATCGTGATGAGGTGGCAGAATCCTTGCCTCCTAAACCCCTCTTCATTATTGCCACCTGATCCTTCCTCCACACAGCACATCCACAAGACATTGTTAGAAGACACTGTAAAGTTTGGTTCCTCTTTGGGAAGACAATTGTTTCATCTCTCTTCCTGTCTAGCTATTATTGTCTACTCACCCCATCTCAGACACTGAGTCCCTTGTATTTTCTCTTTCCTATCTTGAGTCAGAATCAGCTACCCATGGTTTTGGACAGGATATAGTAAGATGATCTGTGCATTAATTAGTGTATTTTGAAGAACATTTGTGATCAAATCAGGGAAGATTCTTTAAGTTAAAGTTTAATTCAAACTCTCAAACTGAGGTTTAAGAGTTTTATGATAATTATTAAATTTTATTTCACTAAATGTATTTTATATATTTATTTCAGTGTCATCTAAAATGTACTCTTCCCAATTGTGGGCATTTTATTTGTCTTTAACTGACTTTTCTTGCAAATGCTATTTATATAGAATTGGGTAGTCAAAAGGTTGGGTAGAAAAAATTAGCATTCTATATTTTAAAAGCACATGAGGCTTTGAGTTCTTCTCCCAAGGAGTATCTGGTATAGGACATGCTCACCTGCTCCAAACAAATAGAAAACACTACAAAATGTGTAGAATGCCTGTTTTCAGACATTTTCCAACAGGCAATGCAGGATTGTGATCCCTGAGAGAAGAGAAATAAACAAGGTAAGTAATAGCTTTCTGCCTGGAGGCAAGATCCAGAGTGTAGTGTCGGGAGAAAGAACCTAAGAGGAGCCTAGTTGTCTAGCTGTATGGAAGACGTACAGAATAGAGCTCAAGATGACCATGTCAAAAGGATTTTTAGGGGAGAAACACTGGAAATGTGGGACCTATACAGAAAAAGAGCTTCAGAAATCTGCCTAAGGGCCCACTTGAGTATTAGACTGAATACAAATCTGTGTTTGTGTATGGTGAAAATCATTAAGGCAGAGGAAAGAGCAGCTGCCTGGAAGGTATGAAATGAACACTTAACAGAGCTCACACAGGGCTGAGAGACAGTTGAGTTTCTATCAGGCAAATGGGAGAAATTTCACTGAACACTTGAGATATTTCAAAGAGATGTTCAAAGAGTTACGTATTAGTAGTAGGGTTAAACTATCCCTAGAGGAGATACTACTCTAAAAGCTAACCTAACAAAGCTTAAAAATAAACCTTGAAAAGACAAAACTGAGCTGCAATTTTCTTAATATTTTTGCCAAGACAAATGTCAACATTCTTTAAGGGAAGACAACAAAGTCCAACTGCTCACATTAATTCATAAAATCTGGCATCTAATTTAAAAAGTACATGTATGTTCTACATATAAATGAAATCACATGGTATTTGTCTTTCTCTGACTTATTTCTCTTAGCATAATACCCTCTAGGTCCATCTGTGTTGTTCCAGACGGCAAGATCTCATTCTTTTATATGGCTGAGTAACATTCCATTATATATAAACCATATTTTCTTTATCCTTTCATTTGTCAGTGGACATTTAGGTTGCTTTCATATCTTTGCTGTTGTAAATAATGCTGCAGTTAATACAGGGGTGCATATATCATTTTGAATTAGTGTTTTTATTTTCTTTGGATAAATATCCAGTAGTGGAGTTACTGGATCATATGGCATTTCTCTTTTTATACTTAGTGAAATAAGTCAGGCAAAGAAAGACACATACCATATGATTCCACTTATATATGGAATCTAAGAAACAAATGAACAAATAAACAAGCAGATACAGACCCATAAATACAGAGAATAAACTGGTGGTTGCCAGAGGGGAGAGAGTAGGGGGATGGGCAAAATGGGTGAAGGGGAGTGGGAGTGGAAGGTACAGGCTTTTGGTTACCAAATGAATAATTCACAGGGATGAAAGGTACAGCATAGAGAATATAGTCAAGATATTTTAATAGCATTATATGGTAACAGGTGGTAGCTACACTTGTGGTGAGCATAGCATAACATATAGAATTGTTGAACCACTATGTTGTACACCTAAAACTAATGTAACATTGTATGTTAACTATACTTCAATTTTTAGAAAGTACACATATGAAAAAGTAGGAAATGTAGGAGGAAATGTAACCTAGAAGGATCAAAAAAGAGTTAAAGGAAATAGACCAGAATGGTAGAGGTGATGGACTTAGTAGAAAACAACTTTCAAGGATTTACATGAAAATATGAGGTGAAAGACTTGTACAATGAAAACTATAAAACACTGCTCAAAGAAAGGAAAATGAACACAAATAGAAAGACAGTGCATGTTCATGTATTGGAAGAATTAATGTTAAAATGTCTGTACTACCCAAAACAATCTACAGATTCAATGAAATTCCTATCAAAATACCAATGACATTTTTTTTAAAGAAGTAGAAAAAACAATTCTAAAATTCATATGAAATCACAAAAGACTCCAAATAGCCCAAGCAATTTTGAGCAAGAAGAATAAAGCTGGAGGCATGATACTTCCTCATTTCAAAATATGTTACAGTAATCAAAAACAGTATGGAACTGGCTTAAAATCAGATACATAGACTGATGGTCAGAGACTAATCAAGCAAAAAGAAAGAAAAGACAAATTATGAAAAAGTAATAAAGAGACATTACTATGGACCCTATAGACATTAAAAGGGTGATAGAAGAATAATATTAAAAACTTTTTTGCCCAGAAAGTCGACAATTTGGATGAAATGAATAGGTTCCTTGAAAGAAAACTACCAAAGCTCACTTAAGAGAAAATGGAAATCTAAGTAGTGCTATCTAAAAGATAAATCTTAGTAGAAAAATCCAGGCTTAGATGCCTTTGCTGGAGAATTTTACCAGATATTTAAGGAAGAACTTATACCAATTCCAAAGGAATCTTCAAGAATATGCACAAAAAAATGAGCCTAAATCGATGTTTTTTTTACTTCATTAAAAAATTATCTCAAATTGTATCATAGATCCAAATGTAGAACCCCAAAGAAGAAAATGTAGAATAAAACATAGGAGAAGATCTTTGTTACCTTAAGTTACACAAAGATTTATCAGATATTAAACCAAAAGCATGATCCATAAAGAAATATTTGATAAGTTGGGCTTCATATAAATTAAGAACTTCAGAAAATAATGTGAAGGGAATGAGAAGCCACAGACTGGAAGAAAAATCTATGAAACATGTATCTGATAAACAGCTTTTATCTAGAATATATGAAGAACTATCAGAGCTCAATAGGAAGACAATTCAATTTAAAAAATGGGCAAAGGAGTTGATCAGTTGTGTGCATGGGGGTGACACAATGGAAAGATGCTCAATATCATTAGTTGTTAGGGAAAAATTAAAACTATGAGTTAGAATATCTACAATAAACAATCAACATCTATTAGATTGTTTTTCTATTTCTATAACAGAAAAACATTGTTTTTCTATTTCTAACACCTATTAGAATATCTACAGTAAAAACAACCAACATCACCAAGTGCTGTCAAGGATGCAGAGCAACTGGAACTCTCATACACTGCTGGTGGGAATGCAAAATGCAATAGCTACTTTCAAAACAGTTTGGCAATTTTTTTTTTTTTAATTATTCTAGTGTTTTGCTGCTTAGCATACTTTTTTTTTAAGATTTTATTTATTTATTTGAGAGGGAGAGAATGAGAGATAGAGAGCACGAGAGGGAAGAGGGTCAGAGGGAGAAGCAGACTCCCCGCCGAGCAGGGAGTCCGATGCGGGACTCGATCCCGGGACCCCAGGACCATGACCCGAGCCGAAGGCAGTCGCTTAACCAACTGAGCCACCCAGGCGCCCAACAGTTTGGCAATTTTTTATAAAGTTATCCAGATACTTCCATACACCCCAAAGAAGGAAAAACTTGTGTTCACACAAAAACCTCTAAGTAAACATTTATAGCAGCTTTATTTGTAATAGTCAAAAACTGGAACTAAAATGCCCTTCAACTGAGGAATGGATACATACACTGTGGTATATCCATGCAGTACAATGGAACACTCCTCAGCAATGAAAATGAAAAGATTAATGATACATGTAGCAGAATGGGCAATCTTAAATTCATTACACTAAGTGAAAAACATCAGATTCGGGCACCTGGGTGGCTCAGTCGGTTAAGCCTCTACCTTTGACTTCGGTCATGATCTCAGGGTCCTGGGATCAAGCCCTGCATCGGGCTCCCTGCTCGGTGGGTGTCTGCTTCTCCCTCTGCCCCTCCTCCCCACTTGTGCTCTCTTTCTCTCTCAAAATAAATAAATAAGAAATCTGAAATAAAAAAGTAAAACATCAGATTTAAAATTATATGCAATGTAAAAGGTACAATACCATTCATATGACCTTCTTGAGAAGACCAAATTTTGGAGATAGAAAGATCAGTGTTTTCTAGGGGCCGGGGGTCAGGGGAGAAGTTGATAACAAAGTGGGAATGGAGACATTTTAGGGGGGGATGGGAACTGTTTTATATCTTGGCTGTTTTGTGTATACCACATAGATGGTATGTAGTTATTCCTATACATTTGTCAAAACTTGCAGAACTGCACACTAAAAAGGGTGAATTTTACTGTATGTCAAATATACCTACTATATATTTAACATAGTATAAAAGTATAAATTAGCTTGTATTTGTGCCCTGACACTTATTTTTTTGGTTTCTATTCTAAATTTAGGAGGATTTTGACATTTAACCTATTGTGGTATTTGTATTTACAGTTCCCTGAATGTGGTTTCTACGGAATGTATGATAAGATCCTGCTTTTTCGCCATGACCCTACCTCCGAAAACATCCTTCAGCTGGTGAAAACGGCTAACGATATCCAAGAAGGCGATCTTATTGAAGTTGTCTTGTCAGGTAGTACACTTATTTCTCTATCCATAGATTAATAGTTTGTATTTGAAGAAATCTTGGGCATAAGTTTTTAAGGCAACATAAAAAAAATCCATCAAACTCAGCCCTAAAAGGAAATGTTAGGCCTCTGTCTACAGGAACTTTCAAATTATTTTTTGGAAAAAGCAAATGGTTTGCCTCGAGTTGGCTGTTTCTACACCCAGTATGGCCCCAGTCACTTTCTCCAACTTTACCATCTCCCCAAGCCTCCCAGCAATACACAAGCATACTTGCATTCATCACCTTGAATCATCTGGGCAGCAGCAAAAGCAAACCAAAAACTCCCCAGTGGGAAAAGACAGATGTTAGGACCTCAAATGTGTGGAGGGGCTGGAAGCCAAGAAATAACAATAGGAATCTGTAGCTTTAGTTAAGTCAGATGTCTACTCATTCTAAGCCAAGACCAAGTTGGAAAACAGAGTTCGGGGAGTTACAGCAGGTCAGGCCATGCCATGTGACACTAGCCAGATCCCTCCTTGAGGAGCTGCTGTGTTTCCCTCTGCCCAGATTTAGATTTCTTATTTAGGATTTAAAAGTTAGTAATCAGACTGTGTGTATCAATACAGAAAAAAAAGGCATATTTAACTTAAAAAAAAAAAAAGTGCCAGAGAACAGCTGTAGTGGGGATCCTTACAACAATGATCAGTGCAATAATACAAACAGATCTAGATTTTTAATGTTTAGTTTTGTGGAAATTGAGGAATTCTTGAGAAACTCTTATTGTATTGTTCCTTTCTCCCCTCTGGCCATCTTTGCTTGTTATTTCTTTATCTAAAGGAAATCCATTTGCTTCACTGATTCTAGATTTAACTTCCTCAAGTTCCTCAACTTGTTCAGAGCCCAGACCTTGGTTGCACCGATTATAATTCAGTTGGACTTTGCTTTGATTCACTCCAATTTGTCTTTATCTTTGTTGATCATCTATCACTGTGTGAGGTCCTGGGATAGCCACATTTTCACTGTGTAGCTAGAGCCTATAAACTTGTTTTGTTAGATAAAAGAGTAATAATGTTCTTGTTTATAGGGTTGCCACTTGCTAAATCAAAAAAGCAAAAGCTTTCATGTGTTTTCTGTAGACAATACCAACCACTTTAATTTATTATTATTTTTTCATATATATATTTTATTCAAGTATAATTAATATAGCGTGTTAAATTAGTTTCAGATGTACAGTATAGTGATTCAGCAATTCTACACATTACTCAGTGCTCATCATGAGTGTACTCTTAATCCCCTTCATCTATTTTACTCATCCCTCTCACACACCTCCTCTCTGGCAATTATCAGTTTGTCCTGTATAGTTAAGAGTCTGTTTTTGTTTTTTGTTGTTGCTCATTTTTTTTGTTTCTTAAATTCTGCATGAGTGAAGTCATATGGTATTTGCCTTTCCTTGACCGACTTGTTTCACTTATCATTATACCCTCTAGATCTGTCCATGTTCTTACAAATTGCGGGATTTCATTCTTTTTTATGGCTGAGTAATATTCTGTTGTACATACACACCACATCTTCTTTATCCATTCATCTGGTGATGGACACTTGGGCTGCTTCTATATCTTGGCTATTGTAAATAATACTGCAATAAACATAGGGGTGCATATATCTTTTTGATTTAGTGTTTTCATTTTCTTTGGGTAAATACCTGGTAGTGGAATCTTACTGGATCATATGGTAGTTCTATTTTTAATTTTTTAGAAAGATTTTATTTATTTGAGAGAGAGAGAGAGAGAGACTGGGGGGTGGGGTAGGAGCAAGAGGGAGAAGCAGACTTACTGCTGAGCAGGGGGCCCGATGTGGGGCTAGATCCCAGGACCCTGGGACCATGACCTGAACCGAAGGCAGATGTTTAACCGACTGAGCCACCCAGGCGCCACTCTATTTTTAATTTTTTGAGAAACCTCCATGCTGTTACCTTTTGTTGGCTCTTTCACAAAAGTAGTACACCTGGCCTCAAAAAACTAGTGCCTCAAAAACTAATGATGTAATGTATGGTGATTAACATAATAAAAAAAACAAAAAATCTAGTGCCTTAGACATATTGTTTTTTAAGTTTCCTATTTCTGAACAGGAGGGTCTGTCTGTAATAAATTATTCAGGGAAATCATGCCCTGGATCCATTCTATCTATAATTCATATTAAACTCATAGCCAGGCTGCTTTGCAAATAACGTAATAACGTTTTACGAACCTTCCTTTTTTGGCCTGTGGCAATGTCCAGAAATATGTGAGAATTTTTAAGATTGCATTTCAAAATTTAATTTATTTTTCTTTCCATTTTACTTTTGTTGTCAAGCACTTTATAGTGATACCAGACAGATTGAATGCAAGCTGGGTGTGGGTGTGCTTGTGCTTGTGGGAGAGGGAAGAGGGCTGCCTGTTTGCATGTTACCTCAGTGAGCAGGGCCTGCCCTTTGGCACACTGACCTGACGCAGCTCTCTGCATTGCCCTGCTGCCCAGGGAACAGCATGATGCTCCTCCCACCATCTCTGCAAACCAAGACCCTCATTGTGCTTATACTCCTCTCCTTTTGCCAGCCACCCTTTCTGTCCCATGTTCTGCCTCTCCTGTCTCCATGGCCACAACTGCTGAGAGGGCACTTAAAGGCAGCCTTTTTTCTTACCTGTTGTCCCAATACCAGACTCAGGAAGGTCTCTCCTACTCTTATCAGCTAACTTGTTGGTATTTAAAAGGAGCCGTTCTGTAACAGCCTACTTTCAGACTCGAACCTGGAGACTTTCAACTTTTTCAGTCCACATAGTCCCACGTCCCCAATGTCATTTAACCCTTAAATATTCAAGTATACATATTTAATTAAATATATGTATTTAAATTATTATATATAATAATGTAGTGTATGTGTTTTTTATATATACCCGCATTCAATTATGTTTAATTGATGATCTCCCACATTTCTCTGTTAGCTTCTTTGGTGGCTGTATTCTCCCTCCTCTCCCACTCTAATGCTTCACATTGTGATTTTCTCAGTAAATGTTAAAAATGGTTTTTCCGTAACTCCCCCTCCCCCCATTATAACCCTGTTTCCCCCCCTACCCCTTTCCTCTCTCCTTGTCGTCAGTTTCCTATGTCTGAGCTCACCACTAAGGCATGGTCCAGCTCCTCGGTCCTTGCTCAGGCATTCCTTCTCCATCTTGCCTGCTGCTACCAAATCCACATCTGTAGGCCCTGTCTTTTGACTGTAGTTTTCAGGCACCAACTCCCTACCATCTTAAGACTGTGTTTTTCCCTTTCTTTTTCTCTCCCCACAGCACATGGGCCACCATGTGCACGTCTTACATCACTTTGATGCATTCTCAACTCTCTTGTGTTCTCTTACACCCTCACAGGGCCTGTTACACAGGTCTGTAATCTGAATAACTTTACCATCCATTTTTGTCATTCCTGGTCCTGAGCTACACAGAGCTGCTAGACACACAGTCCCCTGCCTCTGTGTCTCGGTGCAGACTCGTCTTTACTGGCCTTACTGCTGTTCACCAATCTCTTCTTCCCCCTGCCCCCGCATCCTTTTGTTACCACAGTTGAGGTTCTCAATAAATATATATGAGCTGATTGATTGACTAGTGGCTTTCACATTAGAAGTTATCACATTTACAAAATTTTGACAAAATATTGATTTGTTATAAAAACATCATTTCTAGGTATTTCCTCAATAGTAAGAAATAGAAAGTTCATGTCTCCTTGCTGTGCACTGACTCAGCCCTTACCAGAAATTAGCACCTGTGATGTGGACAGGGTTGCGTTGCATTATAATTGAAGGCAAGACAAATGATTGCTAACGAAGGCATGTCAGGTGTGAATGTGAGGGAGCTCCTATCACTTACTCATTCCTGACCCAGTCCCGGAAGAATATGCAGTGCAGAGTAATATGCCATTTCCTGAAGGTGTGGTTAAGTATCAACTTCATTCAAAATGGCAATGGAGGTAGGAGAACAAAACCCAGGGCGCACCCCCTCTGTTGCCTTTCGACCAGTTTGAGAACATAAACGATGCTGTGGAGACTTTTCTCTTAACGACTATAATTTTATTGTTCAAATTCATTTGTCCAAATTTTCTGTTTTTCCTTATGAAAAAATAAATTTTACTCTGTAGTTCAGCATAAACATAATTTGATTCTTTTAATGTTTAACCTGTATTCCAGCCATAGGAACATGTTCTGACATAGGAGTCCAGTAAAATGTGAGAAAATATGGAAAAAATTAATTTTGAGGAAGGTGAAATACTCTATAGACTCTTCAGGCAACCATCAAGAATTTTCTCTTGCTCATGTCATTTTGTGCTGAGACCTTTCATCATCTGTTAGTTCTAACCAGGCTGCTCCTGGCTAATTTGCTGGTTTTCTCCTTTTCTTTTTGAAAAACAGGGCTTGTATGAGCTAGTGCATTTAGACCCTGTAAGCCAGGAAAACATTGCTCATGGGTGGATGGGTTGGGTTCTGGAGAAAAAAAGAAAGAACTCCATGGAAGTTCCCCACCATGCACATTCCCACCACTGGCAAATTTTGTCTGTTAAGCAAAGGATTAGCATTGGTACTATTGTTATGGAGTAGGAAAACACTGCAAATGGAAATTTCTCTTACTAAAGCCAAAGTCAAGTTCAAGTGTGTAGTCCTAAACTATAAAATAAAGTTCATGGAATTCATCTGATGCCTTCTTCATGTTGGGTCTCTATCAAAGCCTGATAATTCAGCCATAGCAAAGCAAATTAATAACCAGCACTGCATTCACATGACTCAACTCTTTGTTTTTTGTTTTGTGGGGGCTTGATCGCTAATAATTTGTGTGTGTGTGTGTGTGTGTGCGCGTGCGCGCAGGTGTGTGTGTGTGTGTGTGTGTCTAATAGGTGGTTAAATGGAAAATAGACAACTACAAGAATTTCTCTAGTAAAATTACAATTTTAAAGTCAGAGCTAAATGTTGAATCTTTCCTTCTTTCATTAATGGTAAAAAT